CCCTCCTCAGCCAAGTCAGAGCCAGACTCGTCGTCTGACAAAAGAGCGAAGGGATTTGTTTCGTTGGTCGATGGCTTGGCTGTCTTAAGCATTTCTGCAAAAGACCGCCTGGAACGTTCCTTAAGGGAGCGTTTCATTTTGTCCCCGAGCTGTTTGTACGTAATAAATATGTTGGCTAATATTATTTTACCTTAACTTTCCTTTTTCTCTATTATTCACTATTATCTCTTTATTTTCATACAAACCAACAAGTGAGCAACACGGGAATCCAGCAAACGTATCAAATGATCCCCAATGAAAATTTTTGCTGGCCGCGTACGGGCAGCCGAAAAACAATATAAAAATAAAAATAATATACAACCGACAATATCACTGCAGGCAAGCGTGTGAAGCATGTGAATTAAATTCATCAGTACGTCACAGCAAAGGCACAGGGGCTTATGGCAGAAAAACCCCAACAAGGAAATCAAGCAAGCCAATAGGAATTTGGCCTGGGCCCAGGTCAAGCAACCGCTCAGAATGGAGGTTTCTCATGTTGGCCCTCTGCACCTCCGGAGGTTCCCAGGATACTTGAGTGAGTGAGCACGTGAAGAGGGACGTAACCCGCAGGAGCGGGAATGAAAGCGGACATAGCTCATGCAGCACAACAAGTCGGCGAATACTCTATCGCTCTTCTCTATTATTTTATTCTCTTACTATCCCCTACAAATCTGAAGCTAGTGGGACTGCCTACGGGAGCAACAGGCCTGCTGGTGGAAGAAAGTCGTTAAATTTCCGTAGGTTCACACCTAGTTAACTGCAGATGGGCGGGCGATAGTCGGCCAGGGTGTGAGCTGAGCAATAACAATAACAAATTTTTCTTACACCATGTTTAAAAAACGTCAATTTAATGTTGAAATATTTGAAGATCAGGTGCTTTAGATATCTCCATGAAAAGTTTCATGTCATCAGCATATATAGAAACATGAAGAAATTTCAAAATATGTTGTATATCGTTGACAAATAAAATAAACAGTAATGGTGGCACATTAAGCATGGTGGACAGATTTCCTTCAAATCTTACTTTTTGCGTCCGCCGTGATAAGTACGACTCCATCCATTTCAGTAGCCTAGAATTGAAGCCTAATTTGGAAAGCTTAACTGGTATAAAAACTGTCAAATGTTTTACTAAAATCAGTATATAGCGTTTCTACATAATTTCCTTTATTCATTGAGTTTAAAACAATAGGACACAAAATGTATCAAGTTGGTAGCTGTAGATCGTACTTTAACAAATCCGTGCTGTTTGCTAGTAATTACCGTCCTAATCTGTAAGAATACATTGTCATTAATGATTGATTCAAATAATTTAGGAATGCTTGATAATATAGCAACTCCACAGTAATTTTTAATATCAGACTTTTTACAACTTTTAAAACTTGGAATTAATAATGATTTCTTCCAAATCTGAGGAAGTACACTCGACTCCAAGGATAAATTAAACAGCCAGAATCCATCGAAAGTGCCTTTAAAAAAATAGGTGGTAAACCGTATAATTTCCATGAGAGTTAAATTATCAACTGCGATGTTCTTCACTGGCTCGGGGAGATACGAAAAATATTGAAAATCTCGCTCATTCTCATGGTGAATTGTATAAACGTTCTGAAAGAAGTCAGCAAATAAGTTACTAATCTGACTAGGAGTATTGCCCAACCTACAGTTTAATTGCATTTTTGAGAGAAAGCTCTTGGATTTTTGCCTATCTGGTGGGCGTTGGCCAAATTTGGATTTTTCAGATATAATCCTAAATAGGACCTAGATTATTTAATACTCTAGTAACCTCAAGTCCGTGCTCTGTCACAATGTTTCATTGTGATTAATCAACACTCAGAGGGGTAAATTTGAAAGAAAGGGTGCTTGGAGTGTAGAGCGCACTGCCCACTGGACGATTCTGAAGCCTGGCCAAGTGAGTGGGGTATGGGTTTATTTGATTGAACGTCATTTCCAATGTATATATTGATACATTCAAACCATTGGCATTTGAGGTAAGACAGAGATAGGATGCAGAGGGCCCGCTTAGGAGGAGCGTAACCCATGTTATGGTTTCCATTTATTAAATAGTTCAGATAGGCTAGAATTGACAGGGTTATAGTGAGAGAATGTACCATATTGGAAAAGCATAATTTTCATAGGGTTCAGAGCGGCTGAGCTGTTCGTTTGTAGTTTGACCTTCCTTCAAAACCAATTTGGCACTAGAAAATGTTTAAACTTGTTCTGCATTATTCACATGTTGCAATTATTGAAAAGAGCTCGATATAAGATAGTCACAGAAAACAGACGTTGAGGCTCCAAAATTTCTTTAAAAACTTGTGTAATGATTCCTATTCGACTTCCCCACTTAAAAACCCTCTTTGACAACATGATGGCGCTGGCGTTGCATAACTTACACTAGACACTAAGTGCTGGTAAGCAGGTAATTTATCGGTACTAGCGCCAAATTGGTCGAAAGTGATAAATTTATAGAGGAAATCAGGAGATGCTAGCGCTACGTAACGGCAACGTTTCCACTTAACTTTACACAAGTTTCTGACCGAACTTGGACATCTGGTCTCTGTGAGATAGCCTAATACAATTAAATAGAAATGCCAAAATCTTACCGAGTAGTTTAGCTGTTCTGATTTCGGTTCAGTTTGTTGAGGTCGGGTATAGTTTCTGAGTATGGATGCCCATTTTGAAATTGCTAGGGAACTTTCTTTTGCGATCGTCTTTACTTCATACAATTCTCATTATTCATACTATACTAATCATGTTCTGTCTTAGAAAATGTTATATGTTTAAGCCCCGTTCTAGATTTGTTTGTTATTCATATCTTATGCATTGCAGCTCGTGAGAGGTTACCAAATATGGGTTCTTTTTCTCATCCGCAATAGTTTGGGGGAGGGGGCGATCTGAGAGCTGAATAGAGGCAAATAAAATAGGGAACACAACACCATGACCCAAACGACTAACCAACGCATGCAACTCACACTTAACTTGTTCTATTTCTTTCTTCCAATCATGTACCAATATTATCTACCTGAGAACAAATGGGAACACGGCCAGATTTTCAATAGGAAGAAGGAAAAAAGCGAGAAAACGTAAGAGAGAAGCAGTCAGAAAGGATTAGGTCATTTGCAAACAGCCAATTTATACTGGACGGAACTGGTAAGTAGGATAAGAATTGTAAAAGGTGTGTGCTTGCATGATTTACCTATTTTAGAATTACCTATAAGCCACATGAGAACCTCATTTCCTTCAATTACTACTCCATTGCAGCACACACCTAATAATGATCACTAACATTCATATAGTTTCAGCATTATCGACATTTATAATCAAAAGGTGAGTTGCAAAGTATAATTACCATGCATAGATATAAGTTAATGTACCAGAACCTGGACGGACACGAGCCTACCCAGGGGAGGACCCGGATTCGACCACCCATGTGTGTCTAGAGTATCGCACGAGCTGACGAGTGCAACGGGAAGGACAGTAGGTGTATAGACTAGGGGGTTAGTCCCTAGATAAGCCAACTTAGCGGTTGGCACAGCCTATACACTGAACAATTACAATTACAATTACAAAGCTCTTGGATTTTTGCCTATCTTTAACATAGTTAAAAAAAGGATTTTGGGTCTGACTTAATGTTAGTTTCAATCTTTCTATTGTGCTTTTCATATGCATTTTCAATTTCTAAATTAAGTTGGTCACAAATGGTAAGATTTTCATCATTTTCGTTTCTCTTGTACGCTTTATGAGCTTTCAATTTCTGATATTTATTATCTGTCTATTGTACCATATTGGTGCTTTTGCATTGGCACTGTCTGTTCTAGAATAGAATAAATAATCTGATAGAATACATGCACAGGCACTAGGTAGCGAACTTCTCAAGAGCTTTGTTTCTTTCACAATGATTGTTCTTTTTACCATTTCGGACTAACTATTATTCTTAGGTTGAGTGTGCGCAAGAGTAAGATAGATCTATTTTCATCGCTCTATATCCATCGATCCATCGGATAACGCCTATGAGAGGAAGTTGAGATCTTGCGTTGGAAAGTTAATTGCGTTTATTCGGCACTCCAAGAAATAGTTGCTCCATTTTTGTCGGCATAATCTCAAGTCTGAAACAAGGAATATTATCCATTATCCAACTGTGTTGAAGCACACCATCGGCACCGGGCTCTACCACAATTTGAATGTGGAAAGCTACGACAACAAATGCCCCCCAGCGCGGTGATAGCGATACGATCTGCAGTAGTAGATCTTCCACTGTTCCTTATTTAGAATTTGTATATGTATATGCCATTCCATGTTTACATTAGGTATAGTTTGTTTTATAATTGAAATTAATTGTACTGTGTTAGCTTTTAAGGAAGACATTAAATTTTAATGTATGTATAGTTAAGAGTTCGTACTACCTTCGAGAAAGCAGGTTGCCTCTCGGAGGTAATAAAAATAGTAAAAATTTAAGTGAAGACAGGTGTTTTTATTCGTGCTCCGAAACGGATATTGAAGTTTGCCGATCTTCCTCAACAACGTAAGGAAATACATCCTGGTCAAAACAATTCCTTATTCGCTTCAGCAAACGTGAATAAGAGGAATGATAAGGTTCAGTAATAAATAAAACTTAGTATCTAAATTCAGTAGGTTGTGGAACAGGGTCGATAGGTATAGCAAATCATCCATCATCACTTTATTTATTTTCCCTCCTTATAAATATTACCACTGTAACCTTGGCTATCCCATATATTGAATATCTTTCCTTATTATCCGGCATTTTTAAGTAGAATTCATTTGACCCCTGTGGTTATTATTCTGTGATGTCAAATCTATATCTCTACCCTGGATTTTTCACTGGAGACCTTCTGTGCTTGAAAACGAAACCAATCTGCGAAGGACTTATGATTCGTTAAACTACTTAAAATAATTTTGGCAAAAGGCTGTGATACCGCACTACGTCATAGTTATGAAAAGGCCAAAACTTATTAATTTAAAAGCACTTTAATTGGTTAAAATTTACTCGTTTCTTCCATCATTTTACTCTGCATTCTTCTATCGTGTTCATCGTGTGACTCGACTTGCTGCGTGTTTGTTTGTTGCAGCTCGTATATAAGTACGCGATAGGGGAAAATGACATTTTATTTATTAATCATTACGTTATTGTTGTTTCTTTAATGTTTTGGATTTGAAAAAATAAAAATAAAAATAATATTCATGTATTAGACAATACTTATCGTAGGCTTGAATTCCTATCAATCTTCGCTGTTTCTGTTTGCTCATCCATGCTATTATGTTAAGTTAGTTCAGTGTCCACTATCTCAAATTGGCTATTTGAATTACATGTTTAAAAAAATAGAGCTTTCATTAAATGTCCATTCGAACGGGGCTGACTTGGTTCTTACTGTTGTTGCTTCTAATGTTGCAATTTACTAACTCTACCATTTTGTTTAGAAGCTAGGATGAAAACACGTTCTTTTGCTGTTGTCTCTAGGTATATCACACTAGTTAGAAAAACGGCGTGAAAAAGTCAAATCGTTCGATTGTTTTCGAAATTATAATCTGTTCTCTTCGAATTGCGCAAAGTGCTGCGATAAAAACTCAGCTTTGCAAAAAAAAAAAACAGTTCGCAAACGAAGAGAATGGCACTCAGTTAGCGTTGGCAATTAGTTTAGTAGGGTTGAAATTTCGTTCGTTTATATATTTTTTTCTTTATTAAAAAGGCAAACGGCGGTGTGTGGATTAATTATTGTGCAATCGTTTCTAAAAAATATTAAGTATACTCTCTTGTTTATTGTATTTCAATTATTATCTCTCACCGGTAAAGAGGCACAATAGTGGTTTGAAAATTTTCGCAATTCTAAGAAAATGGTAAACCTGCAGTAAAACTCGATTCGTTTGTTACGCGTAAAAATATATGGTTTTAATTTACTTGAGTCAGTTAAAAAACGTTTTGGTGGCACTTTGTGAATACAATTACTTTCTAAATGTCGGAAAGACTTAAACGATTTTTGTGTTACAATCGAAAAAAAGAACTCATCTGTTCACGTTAGTCACTAAACTTTTTTTTTTTTTAAATGTTAATCAAAAAATAATTTGTGAGGCACTGCTTTTTATGTTTGGGAAAAAGGGGCATATTTAAATCCTACTAGGCTCGAGTTAACAACAACTTTCTCGGCGCAACGGAAGCTATATCGATTTGGGGAAAACATTTCGCGGTCTTTTTAACACAACAACGATTTCGTCGAAACAGGCACATTTCGGATGTTTTCGCTCCCTAATACACGTATTTAACAATTGTTTCTCTACCACAGACAAAGAATTACAACAACATCTACCTGCGTATGGGCGTGCTATCGGAACTTTTGCTAAGTTCATTTCCAGTCGCTACTGGAGGATTTCACCGTCGACGACGACGAGCTGGTCATGTGGATCTTTTTGGTGATGACCTGCTTGCTGCTACTGCTAGTGGCGGTGGCACTGTCGAGTAGATTAATCGTACCATTGTTACTACTACTACTACTACCGATCAGGCTGGTTGGATGTTGTTGATTGCTAGTGCTGTTTAGTGGGCTGGTGCGATATTGCTGCTGGTTACTAATGTTACTACTGCTAAACTGCTGTTGATGGTGGTGTTGTTGCTGCTGATGTTGATGCACATATTGCTGGGGATGCTGTTGATGGTGGTGATGCTGTAGCTGTTGTTGCTGCAGCTGCTGCTGTTGATCGTGGTTCTCTAGGTTTAGTTTAGCGAACTTCTGCTCAACATTGATTAGGTTATTAGGGGCTGGATTAGTATTACTGGCAGTTGGGAAGACACGGGTTTCGTATCTGTTGGTAAAGATAAACAAAACATGGAGATTAGATGCGGGGTTTCGGTGAAGGTGATGGGATGATGGGTGCGTTATATAACTATCACTAGGGGCATTCAAACAGTTGGTTCACAGATGGAATTTTGGAGGGACAATTTTTTATATCTACTCAATGTTAACTACACATTGAACATGAATTTCTGAGTGATTGATCTTCGGAAACTTTCTGCAATTTATTTGAGAAGCTCTTTGACCAATCTAAAAAGCGTTCACTCAAGTGGCATTCAAATAGTTTTCATGATTTAGCAACACATACAAATTACCAACTTACAAGGCTTGAAACACTTCTAAGATCCTGTCTATGAAACAATTATCTTAATTCAGTGACGTGATAAATTCGTACAAACCGGTCATTAGGCCGACTTTTGAAAAGTGAGACATTGGCTGTTCATAAACTCCGTTGACAGGAGGAAGGGGGGGTGGGTTTTGTTTACGGTTCATATATATATCCAAAAATGTATAAGGACGATTACCAGCGCAGGAGAAGAAGAATGAAAGGTTGGTCTAAAACTCTTTAAAACTGTCTAACTAGTTTATGAACAGCTTCTTAGAGGTTGTGGTAGAAAACCTTCAACTGGAAATAAATTAAGTCCAATGACAGTATTCAGCATTCTGAAACAATATTTTCATATTCTAGACAATGTTAGAGCTTTCAAAATTCAGACTACGATTTTTTTTTTAAATCCTGGATTTCTAAAATAAAAATTCAAACGAAACGATGACAAATATATCCATGATATTATTGGCAAGCTTGAAAACATTGCAAGATCAGGATGCCCATCCTTTGTCTTCGACAAGAAAATTAAGCACTTTGCCACTTTATAGAATTTCTTACAACTGTGAATAGTTTATAAGGCAAAGCGATTCTAGGAATATAACCTCGGGAGAATCCCAAGGGAATTGCAAGGATTGCTTCCAATGTAGTTCTGTGTAGAATTCCTATTCTAAGGATTACCTGATTCCTGGTGAATCCTATGAATCCTTATAATGAGAATTCATAGGGAAATCTTTGAAAAATTTCAAGGGAGTTTCAAGGTAGTTACAGTATCGGACAAAAGTATATAACATCATGGTTTTTTTCTTGCGAAAAATGAACATCATAATTTCTCAAGGTTAGGTTGCTGGTTGATCGACTATTCAAAGCTTATCAGTATAGTTTTGAGCTTGATTGGATGAGTCTACCGTATGCGTGATAATGTTTGCATCATCGTACAAATAAGGTTCCCGTTTCACCTGTGCATACAATGCCTTGGTTTTCTTTGGATGCAGGTAACCTATAGCTCATACCGTAGTAGGCTGTGTATAAAAGAAAATGATTTACTTAGTTTGACAGTTGCACCATGACAAAGTGGCAGCGTACTCGTGATTTGTCCCACTTGCAAATGTCGCAAAAATACATTTCAATCGCCGTGGAAGCGTCCCGGTGGACCGTCAAAAGGGTTTTAGACCGAGAAAAGAAAGGACAACTATCCGCGAAGGTGGCCACAGGTTGTCCGAGGTCAGCTCGGGTTCCGAGGGTTATCGCTGCTATCAAAAGGAAAATTCGGGTGAATCCAGTGCGTTCAATAAGGAGAATGGCAAAGGAACACGGGATCAGTTACTTTACGGCACGGAAGATCGTAAAGGAAGATTGCGGGGCGAAGTCGAGGGCACGGAAAAAAAAACGCACATGATTACCAACCGCATCCGGGAGCTACGAGTCGAACGATGCAAGAAAATCTTGAACTTACTTAAGCGAAAAAATCCGGTAATCCTGTTCACCGACGAAAGCATGTTTACCGTCGATCCCGTATCAAATTCCAGAACCGACCGGTATATTAGTTCTCTTCCGGTGGATTGGTGGCTTCCGTTGGCAAAAAATGGACCCGGTGTTCATTCCAGAAAGCGACAAGGTCAACACGGAGGTCTACATCGGGATTTTAAGTAAGTAGTATGTTCTTCCGTGGATCAAAGAACAGTACGGTCCGAAGCCAAATGTTGTATTTCAACAAGATGGGGCTCCGTGCCACACCTCGAACCGCGCTCAGAAGTGGTTGCAGGAACATCTTCCGTTCTGGGCGAAGGATATGTGGCTGCCATCCAGCCCCGATCTTAATCCGCTGGATTACTCAATATGGCGCGTCATGAAGCCCAACGCCTGTTCTAAACGCCACCCGAGTACAGCAAGCCTCAGACAAACATTGACCTGGCCAAACCTGGAGAGAAATGGATCCAGACTGCATTATTAGAACCTGCCGTGAATTCCGGAAGCGTGTGGAGGCCGTAATTGCAGCAAGTGGAAACTCGATCGATGTTTAACATAGTTTAAGACTCTGAGAAACATCCCCCTTTGAATAAATAAAAAAAAACTCGAAAACGAAATTTTTGAGATTTTTTTAATTTTGACATTGCTCAATGGTGCAAACATTATCACGCATTTACGTTTGTGCAATTCAAATTAAACGCTTATTATTGACTGCTCTTTTTCAAACAATGAACCAAATCAACTGAACTGTTGCACATTTGTAGCCAAATATTGATCTTTGAAACACCTTTAGTTTGACTAAAATTTGATCACGACAAAGACAAATTATAGCAGTTTGATTGTTTTCACCATATTCCGATAATCCTTGAATAGTTGATCAACCAGCAAGCAAAAGTTGATCAATGTTAATGCCCATCCTGAAAAGTTACAGATGTCATGTGATGTGAAAACCAGAAAGATGTAGACACCAAATTAAATCCAATAACGTGCACGAAATTTTGCGAGGCTTTTAGTTAGCTTTCAGCGATTATAAGTTACAAAGATCATGCCTCAGCTGACCGAACATAGCAGAATTGAATCATCAGTAGGTTAGAAACCATTCCTCATCAAGCACCCGCATTTCGCATTGTTACTCCCTCTGTGTGTGAATTGCAGTGCTTCTAAAGTGGAGATCATTATCTTAATCAAAAATTTACCTCGTAGTAAATCCTTCATAATTCTGCGGCATCCCCGTTCCATTGCTGGTGGCGCTCGTCGTAGTAGTAGTAACCGTACCATAACCCGCTTGATGCTGCTGCTGGTGCTGTTGTTGTTGTTGTTGATTTGGTGACGATCGGAACGTACTCATCGGTTGAACCTTGTTCTGCAGGTCCTGTACGGCGGCGTCGAAATGTGCCCGATTTAATTTGCTCGCGCTGAGGTTGGAATTCTCCACCCGGGTTGTTTCGTAGGTTCTGTTGATGATCGAGGGTGATACCAGGGCCGTTGGAGATTTGATCGAATCCGATTGGTAGGGTTTCGGGACGGCGTTTGCCGTCAGGAGCGTTGATCTTTGGAAGGTGGATGTGTTCGATTGTTGTTGTTGTTGCTGCTGCTGCGGTGTACGTGGGAAGGTTCCGGTGGATGTCGCTGGAGAATTGGTGGCTGGCGAATAATTTCCCGGTTTTGGCAAGGTATGTGGCTTTGGTGAAGGGGTTTGGTACCCGGTGAAGGACGGTGGTTGAATGCCGCCTTCATCACTGCTGTCAGTGGTGAAACCTCCTGCAAGCTTCTGTCGGTACTTGGCATGACGAATGGCGATCAATTTATTTTGGGCTTCGAGGAGCTGTCGTTCGGCCATTAGGATTTCCGAACGAGCATTGATTTCTTGCGCCATTCCATCGACCATGTTCCTGTTCAGCCGAAGCGTGTGCTCTTCCTCGCCTTCGATGGCTTGCTGAGCGGCTTGGACAAGTGTATCGGTGGATTTGATGACAGCATTTCCGGCCGCTTGAAGGCGTCTTCCGGTTTCGGAGTTGGGGTCGGATTTGACCTTACAGGCAATCAACAGCTGAGCCGTAGAGCTGGCCACTTGCTTAGCAGTGGAGATGAGCATCTCTTCAGTACCAGTTCCTTGAACCAGATGCTGAGCTGCTTCCACTAGACTGTGGGTAGCAGCTGCTACCAGACGAGCAGCAGAAATCAAACCTTCGGACCACTGACCGTCGTCCGAGGAAGTTAACGGCCGACGATCAACCTTTCCTTGATCGACCAGTTCGCGTTGGGCAGCGTTTGCTGCCCGCACCAAAGCCGATGAGGCAGCCATAATACTTTTGGCCGCTTCAAGGATCATCTCGTCAAAGTTCAGGTTTTCGTCCGTTTCCTAAAATTTGATTGAAATTATGTTAGTTTTGTGTGTAACACGCGATCTGTCCTAATACTAGATTAAAATTTGCAACAAATACTGAAATGTTCATCACCGATTATATACACTTGCACTTTCATGAAGTCCAACGATGACCACAGTAATAATATGTTTGATTCCTGGGTGATAATATAAAATTTAACAACCAAGAATATCAAACATATCTCACCGGAATCACCCTCCACCAGGATAGAGATACAGAGTAGTCCAAAAAGAGAGAATTATTATCACCATCACCGTTCTAGATCTAACGTAGTCTACACTACTACTTTGAGAACAAAAGACCTTACCTTAACTTCTGCCTGCCGTCTCGGTCGCAAGCTGGCCAACTTCTTGGCCGCAGCCTCAATCGAAGCCGCCGCCCCCAGTAACTCGTTTTCCGCAATCACTGTCGGATCATCCGGATCGACCCAGTCCGATCCCTTCAACAGCTGAGCCATGCCCACCAGATCCGTAACGCACTTGGCCACCCTTCTTGAAAGCTGCATCCGTTCGTCCGCAGTGCAACGATGTAATACTCCCTCCAGTAGATCCCTATAAGCCACACCCACCGCAGAACCAGCATCCAACGTCCGCTGCCTCAGCTCTTGTGTTTCCGCACATGACCACGCAACCGACCTGCACACGACCAACATGTCCGAGATGGTCTTTCGGCCCAGATTGGCTGCGGCAGCAATGTCCGCTTGCAGATTGGACGCACCGGCCGATACAGCCTTAGCCGTAGCTGCCGTAACGTGTTTCGTGACACTGATCAAATCCTCCGGTTTCGAAAGCTGCTGCATGCTGGCCCGGTGCATGTCCGGTGCGAACTGCATCGAACGGATCTCCTGCGAAATGGCATCGACGGTAGCTTCCATTGCGCGAGTGCCCCGGGTGTGTTCGTCTTCGACGGCCTTAACAGTTTTCAGCAACGAGGTGACGTTCATCACCATGACCTGCGATTTGTTTTTAGTTGATTTTGGGAAGGAAGAGAGAAGAAATTGCTAGTTAGTGATTTTCGTTGTATCAGAATTAGATGCTCGTTATTAAAGACTGGGGTTGATCGAAAAAGGAATTGTGGGAGTTAAGTAAAAGAATAAAAAAAAAAAAGATCTGCTGATTGTGAAGTTAACGAAAATGGATTTATGAGTATTTAAATTGTGCTTAGGACAGTGAACTCCCCATGAGTCGACGCTTAGTAGTATCGTGATGTAGATCTAAAAATCCTCGAAAAGATTGTGATAACTCTTCAAATGCTGTTCACCGATCATTCATGTAGTGGTTGATTTAGATTTTTATTACATTGTTGACATTGTGGCCACTGGTGACGCGCTTAGTCAGCTGCTATAGAGTATGACGTTTGTACACTATCGCCATCTTTTCCGCGCTCTGCCCGTCACAGTGTAGTCAACAGCTGGCGATAGTGTTTTATGGACGATGGTTAACAACAAGGTTGCAAATACTCATTTCAGCTAAAATAATGTTTTTCGGAATAACAAAACCAAAAGATGGTATGGCATGTTTTACTTGTAACTTACAAGAAGAGGTTACAAGTATGCGTTTGAAACATAAAACCTGTAAATTTTGCTTTCTATGAGTCACAATCAGCGATTTTCTGATCGCTGAGTGAGTGAGTGAGTGAGTTTGTGAAAAATCGCTGATTGTGACTCTCATGAAGTGAAATAAATAGGTTTAATATTTCAAACACATTCTTTGCAACCTCTTCTTGTATCCTACTAATTCAAAATATGATCATGGCATCTAATTATTTCATAATTTAGAAAAACATTGTTTTAGCTGAAATAAGTATTTGCAACCTTGGTTAACAATTAAAATTATTTATAGCGCTATGTCTGTTTGTCTATGGTAAATCTATGGAAAATCAATAAACGTACTAGTCTATAAAAACTATGTTCAGTACATTCAAAGTGTGTTTTTGCTACTTCATACGTGAAGTTTACGATTTTCAAAGTTTGTTGGAAATGCTATCTAACATGAAGCTTTAGTGCAATAATTTATTAGCTAGAGAAAGGTTTGAAGAGGATAGGTTGATAGTTCCGCGGCAGTATGTAAATAGAATAGAAGTTGAAATTGAGCGAAGTGTCTGTCGCATTATCAACCTACCCTCTTCAGACCTTTATCTAGCTGATAAATTATCACACTAAAGCTTCATGTTAGATAGCATTTCCAACCAACTATGTTCAGTACTTTTCGATATCGACACATGTAAAGTCGGTTCATTGAGAGTTCGCTGTAACCTAACTTCAGTAACTAATTTGAGTTTTGTTCAATGCCTGGAAAGGTAACCGATACCGAGTAAACAAAAATGCATCGCATAACTCAGGACAAAAAGAGTGTGCTTCTTCTGTTTGTTTTTCACATACATCTTTCAACTTTTCTCTGATAATTCACACAATCAGCGATAGTAAAAGTGTCACCTCGTGCGCGATTGTTTTTCTTCGCTTATAGTATCGAACGGTTGTGCTCCCCTCCCCCCCCCCCCCCCCCTTTAATCCTATCCAAGCAGTGGATAAACAATAACTAACAACGCTCTTGTTTTGGCAGTATGATACATTACATTTTACAGCATCTTTTGGATAGGTTTGTGATTAATTTTCTTGAGAAAAATCCCATTTGAAGGGTCTCGTGGAGGGGAGGTGGGAGTGAAGCCGTTCGTAACACATTTAAATCTTTTTTTTTTTTCAATCAAAAACCGACAGCAGAAGACCGCTCTATGCACTTCTAAAATAAAAATAAAAATCTGTAGTAGGTACTGCAAATAAGTGTACACAATCGAATTCAGTCAAATTTCCACTTTTCGATCAACCCCAATCGCTAGAACACGCCGGACACAGATAATACAGAACAGATAAAAAAAAATAACAATTAATTAATAATTTACCTACAAGTTTTCGTCGAAGTTCAAAACAGAGTTAAACTGTTACAAATCGTTGAGTGCTATTTGTTTTCGCTACCGTTTCGAATGTGACATTTACTTTGAGATTTTTCTTAAAATTTGAACGGATTAGGCATAGTTAACAGTACACAGTTTTCAAAGGATAAAGTGCATTTAGGTGGTGAGGGAGGCTCAAACAACAACGAACGGGAAACGGGTGGTGCAAACTTGTCAACTAGAAACGCGTGGGTTTTGTTTGTTTTGGATTAAGTTTTGTTTTATTTGTAAGTAAATGAGTGCTGGTTTTGTATGTTTAATGTGAAAGAGGCCTTATATCTAAGTAGAACATATAACTAAAGATCTAAAACTTCTTGGAACGTTCTAAAATAATACGCTACAATCAAGTTCGGGGATATGGCACTTAAACTAACATTATATGAAGGATTGTATGATGAAGCGCGTTTGTTCAAAAGACTCCATCGAAGAGCGTCGGTGCGGTGGAGAGTACGCGTAAAAATTCCTCTTCCTGATCGGAGAGCCACCAAGCGGTGCCCGCCCTAAACGCCAGTGCATCCTGTAGAACCGCCTGAATACGAACGGAGGGGGAAGGTGGGAAAATACGGATTTCAGTTTCATTCATTCGGAAACAGATTTAAAAATGGATGAATCAGTACAACACACGCATTCGTTATATAGGTGTGTCAAACAACAGGCGACGGTTCAAAAATAGGTTCCTCTACTTTCTAACCCACGATGAGGACGAGGACGAGGACCTGGTCATGGTGGACGACGCCGTGATGGAGCTTTGTCTACTCTCGCGGTACTCGTGGACTTGGGAGAGGCAAAGTTCTCTGATCATCTGTGGAAAGAAGGGTAAGGCTGATGATGTTGATGGACGGTGGTGGAAATCCAAAAACAGGACTAGCAAATAGGAAATAATCCAACGCACCCATAGGCAACAGGCAAGAAGATATGCGTCACCGATTGATCACAACCAAAATACGACACCGCAGCGAATCTACCGCGCGTTCCCGGTGGGTTAGGAGAAAGTTTTTGATCCCGCTTCTGTTGGTGGCACCGGTGGTGTTAATGCGCGCTACAGTTGATCATATCTCACTAGCTAAGGGATGCGGTTAGACCTAGACTTTGTATTTTGTACATCTGTTCTTTTTAGGCTACGTTGATGTTAGAGATACATAATTATAAGTTATGACGGATTCGTATACTGAGCTCGCATCGACCCTTACAGCATGCACTGGCGCAATCCCTCTTCGCGGATCCTCCTAATACGTAAAAAATCGCAAGCATATAAAATAGGTGTTTTAATTGTGCGGCAGGAGATCATGCACACAATTTGAATAATATGAGGAACACCAACGCATCGGCACTTGTAGCGGACCCACTCATGCTGTTAGTTGTAGGTATGGTATAAGGGAGGTGGGGGAGTGTTCGAAAGTCAAGTTTTCTGATCTGTTGACTTGGGTGCCATATCCACATTCTTGATTGGTGCTGGTTTGAGGTGAAAATCACAAGTAGAAGCAGAGTGTGTTTCAAATTGAGAATATTCTATCAGTACTAGGCTCGGAGAACGAGTGCAAAATGTTAGTTCATCACTCGAAAATGATGCAGGGATGCCCGAGCAAAGCTGATTAATCGTTTTGATTGAAATCAAAATTTGCTGTTATGATGCAACTTATTTTGAATATTCCAGTTGATCTCATTTTGGTTGACTTAACGGTTAACACAGCAAAAATGAGAGCAAACTTTTACGCTGTTGAATCAAACGGAAAACTAATCTTGCTTTCAATGAAAGCAATTTGATTTCTGATTTTGCATTCAAAAAGTTTAACTGAATACGGGCCTGGCGTAAATCGTTAGCATCCATGTTTCTCATACTGAAAGACTTGAGCTCAAATCTCACCCCGGGCAAGTCACGAATGATCTAAAATATGTTAAACAAAACAAATAAACAATAATAGTTAGTTCAACGAAAGATGAGACAAGACATTAACAGCAGAACTTCAAGTTAAGTTGCCTTCATTTTAAAAGTTTTAACTGCATAATGAAAGCACAATATGATATCAGATATAAAATCAAAATCAGTGTTCACTCGGCTGTCGACAAAAGCAGGCCACTCTCGATGTGTGCTACGCGATCGTCTGTTTTCTCGGCAGCAACCATTGTGTGGTCCTCCTCATTGTTCTTCATCAGCAGTTCTTTCGGTCGATGCGTCGTCGACTTTGGAAAGCAACCGTTTCGTGATGAGTGTGTGAGTGCTGACCACGTTTTGCGTCCATTGCTGCAATGGACGCGCTCTGACCCTCGTTGGCGTACAACAATTTGCCATACAATGAAAAAACTGGAAGCGGCTCCAGTTCTGATGGAGGAGGCTTTTTGGATAGCGGAAGATAAAGTGTTTATTGTGTTGTACCTTTTGACTATATTTTTAAGATGTATTGTATAGTGACCAAGAATCATCGGCTCTGTAAAGTTAATTCGGTTGAGCCTTATCAAATAAATTAATAATAAAAAAAAAATAAAATCAAAATGAGTTTTCATTATGATAGGAACTGCAAACTTTAATTTCGATTTGCTTTCATTTTGTTAACTGACTTTGCTTGGGCGATGCACTAAACCCGGAATACCGGGAAAACCGGGTTCGAAAACAACCGGGAAATAACCGGGATTTTATTGAAACTAAAAAATTCTATTTATAAAAATTCTTGTCGGAATGTCTAACTTTTTCTTAGTACGGGATACATAAAATTAATTTAAATTTAAATCTGAGCTCCCAAAAAATAGCAACGATCAGAGTTTCGGAAATTGGTCAAGTCCAAGATCGTGATCATTTTCCTTAATGAGTTCAGTGAAAATCCTAAACAGGCGCGCCATTTTTCGTATATTTTGCTATTTCAAACGAATTTCAGTGAAGCTCCATAAACAAACTGCGGTTGTTCACACGCTGAAAATATGGGGAACTTACTGGAAGCTTTAAGAACTACAAAGAGGTTCTTTTAGCATTCGAAAATATTCAGGGTATGAAGTTCTTAGAATTTCAGA